ATTTCTTGAACCCACTAGGGCTCCTACGCATGTAGATGTGTTAGGTCAATAAACATATGGAAAAAGAGTGGTGAAAAATGTCATTTATTTTGGCTGCAAACTAAAATATTATAAAATTAAATTTAGACATTAGAAATGCAAATGTACTTTTTCAGGAGGTAAAGTCCCAAGGATTAAACTGATTGCAGCGGCCTACTTGTAATTTTACTTCAACTAGGCGAGACTTTTTTATACCTTGTTTCGCAAATTCATCTCTCGCACAAACTGATGATGTCAAATAAAAAGAAAATATTCTTTTTGTTCAATTAGTACACCCGCTGCCACGAACAATGGAAATTCCAGAAAAAAATACCTAGGTGTTTTTAAAATTTGTTATTACGCCCGCAAATGTGTATCTAAGTCATACAGCATTCTTTATATTCCTACAGTACATTCATAGATAGTAATGACAAACTGTTACTTTTCTACAAAGGAAAATGCCTGTATGTAGAGGCAGCCTAATAAAGGTGTAAGAAAATGTTCTGAGTTCTGCTAAATTAAATTGTAAACCAGGTTTTGTTATTGTGGCATTTGTGTCAAATTCCAATATTTAAAAAATAATAATATTGGGCATTAACATTGCACTTCAATCAAAAAACAATATTGGGAACATATAAAAATTTCGACTACTTTTTAAAGACAATGTATCATTTTTCAAGAAACAAATTTGTATTGATGCCTAGACCAGTAAACAAAAGTCAAGCCTATTATTTATTGACTTTTCATTTGGACACTAAGGTATTAGATATTAAGACTTACTGATTGTTTACTTTTATTATACTTTGTTACTTGTACTGATCAGTTACTACGTTCTATAAAAAAACTATCTGATTTATGTACTGTGCAAAAACATGATGTAAATGAAATGCTTTCACTGTATAATAATATTATCAAAATATTTTACCACTTTTTTGGTTTATAAATGTGCCTCCCACAATAGGATAGTTTATTGTTTATATTGTACATACAGTAAAATATGTATAAAACTTGTATCGGTAACTTTGTGCACTCAATATCAGATGAAATTTAGAGAACTGGTCCAAAAATTGCTATTCTAGCCTATTTGTACATGTCTCTTTGGTTAAATGCCTGATAAAAAGGCACCTGTGAAAAATGTTAACACAGAATCTTACTGATTTAAAATGTGATTACAAAATTAATTCAGGATGAAAATGTACAGCGTAGGTACAGCAAAAACAAGCTTGTTATGGACTGCTGGAATTGGCTGCCATATAAAATCCAACGACCTGAAACAAATAAAAATTATAAGTTTGGTTACTTTGCCTGAATAAATACAATTTATTGAATGTAAACCACAAATTTTCACATCAATTTTCTGTATTTCTTAATGAAAGGTATTGTGCCTCCATTATCTCATCACACTTTAATTGGCTTACTGTTCTTTCTATTAGATAAATTGGATTTCGAAGGTGTATCATTGAAATTTAAAACTTCGCTCCAATACATTGCCCCTTGATAGTAGAATTTCTAGATGGTCTGAAGACAAGAATGGCTTATGTACTCTTTGCAATACCTGTCTCTTATACACATCTAGATGTGTATAAGAGACAGATTTTTAAGTGCTAATATTGATATTAAATTAAGCTATGTCCTAGGCTCCACTGCTCTTTCCATGACAAATGAAGTAGAGAAATACTTTGATGAATTTTGTAAAAGTTATGGAAAACGAGCGTGGAGAAAAAGATCTGGATTGAAGCACTTGCAAACTTTATCGTAGATTAAGTATCTGTATTACTGTCTTTTCCTTTTTTTGTAACTAATTAATTTTGTTTGCCTTAACATTATTGTTGAGTTTGTTGGTGACAGGTGGCCCTTCGAAATTTGTGACAGGCAAGGCAGGTTGTATTTCCTTGTCATGTTTTTCGGGAAGCTACTTGCCTCTTCAGCAGCACTACTCACTTGTGTTTATTTCATTTTTACTTAAGATTCCCTTGCTTTGTTTCGTTATTTTTTTTATTTTTTTTTTTGTACTTGTAGCTAAGAATTTTAATTCACTTTGAACGCACCAAATGATTTTGAGTGCCACCGATCTAAAGGTGTATGTTCTAATAAATGATTGATTGATTGATAACAGGATGGTGGC